CACCCTTCAACCAAGGCCCACTACCTCACAAGTACATACCAAATCCAGAGGAAAGGGGACCCAAGCTTAGAGCTAGAGTCCTCAAAATATTCTCCTTTAGGTATGCTGTGACTTTTTTCTAGGCATCTTAGAGCCTTAAAGTGCTGAAATACCTTTCTTCAATGTCATGTTTGTCTCCCAAGATGGTTCCGGAGGAAAAAGTGAGGCTGGTGACTTTGCACAGCCCTCCCTCACTTAAATCCAATTCAGTTGTCAGTCATGGCATCACCTTCCTGATACTATGGTCTTCTTCCAGAAAGAAGGACACAAAACAACTTCACCTCCCAATGTAGACACATCCACCAATCATTGCTATTCAATCAGTGCTGCTGGGACACCTTTGAGAATTCTAAAGTGCTCCTCTGGTTGGGAAGGGAGAAAGTGGGGCATGGGCGAGGTGGGAGGGAGGGGGAAGAATAGGTGAGACAGAAGTTCTTTTCCAAGTGATTCTATCTATGATGCTAGGCTGGAACTACTCTCTCTCTCTCCAGTTCTGGTAAATGCTCAAATACTTGGGCTCTAAGATAGCTTGCTATGTTTATAGAAGACTCACAGGGTATGACTGAATTCCTGCAGCCAATACCAACGCACTTTAAATTAGCCAAGGCTTTCTCTCTTTCCAAATTGATTAACCAGATTACTTACATCTAGTCTAATACTCTTGATTGAATGATTGATTCAGTAGAAGTGTTTTCACTTGTTGAAGGTAGTAGCTATGTGACCCTGAGCAAGTCACTTAACCTCTACCTCAGTTTCCTTAGCAGTAAAATTGGGATAATAATAACACCAACCTCCCAGGGTTGTTGTGAGGATCAAATGAGATAATATTTGTAAAGCACTTTGCAAACCTTAAAGTGCTATAGTTCTAGCTATTATCATTATTGTTATTTTATCATTACTTTAAGTAGAATGAGGTAACTGCTTGACTCAAGTGATCCCCACCCCTTTACATGTTAATTCTTCATTATTTATTAATTGTGACCCTCACATTTAATTCTTCAGAAACTGACATTCTATGATTTGCAGCTCTGTAGCATCATCAGAAGAATACTAAAGTAAAAATATAGACCCTTATTTAAAAGAGCTTGGGATCATTAAAAACATTATATAATTTCCGAAAGGCAATTTAGCCTACTCTTCTCTTTCTGTTTATTTTGGATCATTGTTTATGCACAGGGATTGTTTCTCTCTCTCTGTGTGCATACACACACACACACACACACACACAGAGTAAGGCTGCCTTTTGTATTATGGCCTGCTAGGTATTAATAATCAAATATAATCAAAATAATCAAATTCTGTTGTTTTATCTTTCAAGAAACTTTATATGATCATAACATATAAGAATTATATCTTTTTGGAGGAGAGCCTTTAAGATAGCATTTTGATCTATTCTATCAAATTTTTTTAATTTCAACAATCATATATTTTATGAGGGCACCTCATATTTACTACACATTTCAGGCAACTGTAAGATTATAAAGATGCGATCTTTCGTAGAATATCATTTGTGGAAGTTTGCTTATTCCCTTCTCAAACATTCATCAAGGATATCCTTGATGGACGGAATATATACTATTCTCATGAACATTTTGATCCGATGATGAAGAAATTGTGGTGTTTGATTTTGATGGAATATTGTTGTACTATAAATGACAAGCATGATGGTTTCAGAAAAACCTGGGAAGACCTACATGAATTCATGCAGAAAGAAGTGAGCAAAACCAGGACATCACTGTAGACAATAATAGCAATGTTGTAACAATGAGCAACAGTGAAAGACTTAACTACTCTGATCAATAAAATGATGCAAGACAATTCCAAAGGGCTCAATGAAAAATGTCATCCACCTTCAGACTGAGAGCTGATGTACTCTGAGTGCAAATTGAAGTAAATTTTTAACTGTCTTGCTTTTTTTGGGCAACATTTCTAATATGGAAATATGTTTCGTATTATTTCACCTGTATAATTCATATCATATTGCCTTTTCAATGGTTGGGAGAGGGGCTATAGGGAGGGAGAGAATTTGGAACTCAATTTTTTTTAAAAGAATGTTTAATATAAAAAACAATGTTGAGTGGAAATTTTTGATTTAGTGATAGACTGAGCAAATACGTAGATGGTTAATATTTTCTTAGTTGCCTCTCTTTCATTTTCTCTTTCTCTTTCTGGTAGTCATCAGGACTGTGATTTTTCATTGTCTCCCCACTTTCAGTTTTCTTAGATAGCAGTCACCTTCTGTGTATCCATTATGTCACCTCCAGGACAAATATCCCTTACATATATTTAGTCCAGTCCAGCTTTTTTTTTTCCATCTTTGTTTTATTCAGTGATAGTCCTATGTCCTCACACTGTCCATTGGTTCTGTGATAATGTCAGGATCCAAAGATGGTAATTGTGTTGTTAGAGGAAAGAGTTTGTTTATTATGGAAATCTTGATAGACATTTTCCATTTTTCATTGGCATGGCGTCCTTCTTCCAATTTGATCTTCAAGTGCCCGTGGAATAGTTTTTATTAGTTATCTCTTGCCAAACTTTCTGTAAGTTTGCTTTTCTTTCCATTGTGTCTTGATGATGCATGACGTGATAATGTTCGTGATCTTTCACTACGCTCTTCCATGAGATTTGATAAAAAATTACATAATAAACCAGTCTTACTTTTAGGTGTCATCTCTCTCTACTTGGCATGGAGATCAAGTGCTTACTCTTTGGACCTCTGCATTTTTGTAATTCTCCTCTATACTGATGAAATATCTCTAGGAAAAGGTGATATCCTGTCTCATTTTCTGTTTCTTTATTCTTTTCTCATTTTCAGTGTCAGTATCTTGTTCAAATAAGTAAATTTCAAGCTGATTTAATTGTTTGAATCATTTTTCAAATTTGGTGTTGATTTTGACTTTTTCTTTAAACAAATGCAGGTTATTTGGAAATGATCTTCTATCTGTTCAAATTTAGTAGTTACAATTTTTGTGATATTAAGTAAATGATAGTAAAATGCTTAAAAATGTGGTGATTCTTAGAAGCCTCTATACCTCTTTCTGGAAGTCTACCACCATTTGCTGTCTGCCAAGCAGAAGGGAACTGAACACAACTGAGACCTTTTTAGATTTTCATTTTTTTTTTTTGTTTCTTGGCTTGCCCGTATCTAAGACCTTTAGCACCAAGTGGCCAGCTTACTATAAAAAAGACTTTACATGCTTTGCCAAGCCAATTCTTGAAAAGAAGACATACTGTGCTATTAGGACCACACTTGAAGCCTTTCTCACATTGTAGAAACCAACAAAGCTCAACTTCTTTCAGAATAGCCTTCAAGAAACCATGATCACCTTTATGTCACAACTTATAACAGTAAGATTTTATTTATAAATATGTATGTATTATATATTATTTTATATTTATATTTTATTATATTATGTTTATATCCTATATTTATATATTATGTATTATGTCACCTAAATATATCACACATAAATGTATTATATAATATATTTATATAAATATATTATAAAATACAATATATTTATCTATCATTATATCATGATATACATAAATATATCATTCTATATATAAATATGTAATTTAATGCAAGCATGTATATATACATTTTATATATACTCATAGGTACATATTTATATATATTTATATGAATATATTATATATGTGTGTGTGTATATATATGTATATATATATATATATATACACACACACACACACACACACTCACAATATAACAACTAGAGTCAGAGCTGAAGGCTATCTAAGAAGTCATCTGATCCAACATCCTCATTTTACAGATGAAGAAACTGGGGCCCAAGGGACTTAAGTGATTTGCCCAGGCTCACAAAGATAGTAGGTAGTAGATTTGTGACTAGAACAAGTCCTGTGATTACAAGTTAAATGCTTTCCCACTGTACTTTGTTGCTAACTTTGGATGAGGGAAGAGTAGACTAGAGCAGAAGTAATCTGAAAGTAGCACGCTAATAGCAATGACACCGCAAGTGACTCTTGATAAACTAGACTGTAGCTCTTATCTATTTCCTAAAGCCTACCATCTCGGCTTGAATGGCAACATTTTCCACTAGTTATACATGATGGGAATTTAATCCTTTGTCCAGAAAATAAAGATATAGTTATAGTTTTTCATGAGATTTTTAAAAAATCTTCTTCCAGTAATATCCCAATAGGGAACTCTTTTAGTTCCCCATACAGCTGATGGGATATATATTGCAGTATGATTTCCCTACACATCTAATGGAAGTTAGCCATTTGTACCTTTCTGCTGACACCTTCTGGATTATAAGAATAACATTAGTATAATTAAAGTCATTACAACTTAATGTTGTTACAAGGGCAATTCTTGCTTTGAAGAAAATTGTGTTCCTAAGCCTCCTTGAAAAACCAAACCAAATAAATTGAAATGAGCCCTGGAAACTTGGCCCAGTGTGCTTGATTTTAGTGCTGGTGAGGTCAGGCCACAATGAAAAGATATGAATCCATAGAAGTACATACCCAGGAGGTAGAGGAAGAACTTCACTCTCTATGTATCATATTTAAAATTGCAAGTGAAATGATCTCCCTAGTCTTTTACTTTAGAGTAAAATGTTGTTGTCCTTTGATATAGAATATAAATTGTTCATTGGTCTTTGGTTAATAATCTATAAAGCTACATATGCTCACGTATGACCACACACATGCAGAATTAAGGCTTATTTGTAGAAATCAGATTAAGTGAGAAAAAGGAAGGAAGGAAGCATTTGTAAACCCTCACTATGTGCTAGGCACTGTACTAAGTTGTGGGGATACAAATGCAAGCAAAATGAAGGACAATCTTGAAGGAGCTTACATTTTAAAGGAGGAAGATAATGCACAAAAGGGAAGTGAAAAGTAAAGTAAGGGATGGGGATGGGTGTGAAAACCAGCCTGCACTCCTCCACAAAATGGAGACTCCAGGAAGAACTCACCAGCAGGACAAGGGATATTCTAGGTTCTGAAGGATTCAGGGGTTTTTGGATGTTCCAGGATGAGGAGGCCCCAGGTGCAGAGAGAAGTTTCGAGATGATACAGTGGTGGTGGCATAGTTTTGAAACTGGAAACCAGGAACAGGTCTGGGAAAGGAAGCATCAGATTCAGGGTTCAAATCCAGGTTTCTCCTAGCTCTCACTCCACTATTCCATTTTTGACTCACAGGTTCTTATCTCTTATAACAGATGATAAAACTGAGACTCAGAGAGATTATGTGACATTCTTGGTCAGGGCCAAATAGCTATAAGAGCTAAAATTTGAATTAAGGTCTCCTGACTTCAAGTCCAGTATGTTTTGTTTTATACCATGCTACCCCACTTGACTTCCTTTCAAATTGAAGGCATATGACATCTAAGAACAATATTGATTTCAAGTATGAATTTATGTACAAAACTCTAAAGAAGAATGTGATTGAAGATTGCGGGCCATATGACATCATCAAGTAGCAAACATGAAGAGAGGAAGATATGAGCATTCAAAAAGTGGGATGTGAGATCCACCTAATTAAAATGATCCTAAGAGGATATGCAAATAAAACTGATGGGAGAACAATGAATCAATTTTTTTTAGCTATCTCAAAGAGGGGGAATTTCTTAAAGAATATGAAAGATCTTGACTGATACCACTTACCAGAAAAGGGTCAACATATACTGATGTATAATCTTGTTTTCCATTTTTGGACAAACTTGACAAAATTGAGGTATATAACTATTAATAATACCCTTGATGAAAACACGAAAAGGGCATAAGTAGGCTTTCATAATTAGTGTTCTATAGGGTACTGTGTACTATATTTAGAAACACAAAATGAATGAGAGGTTTGGCAATAAAAATAGTGCTATGTATATTTTTTAATTGATTACACTGAAGTATCGAAGTGATATAACCAAATTGAGTCTTAAGGCTGTCTCGAAGTATTCCCATGTACGTATCAAAATTATAAAATTTCATGAATGGAGCTACTGAGATAACTTTATTCATGTATCTGTTGAGTAGCACCATCAAATGAATCATAAAATAGAGAAACATATGCCAATCAAAATCATTCACCAGCGTCATGGACAATGCCCTGCACAGAATAAGAATTACTTATGAATAGAATGGTTATCAAGATATTTCTAGTCACTAACATTATTTTAATTTCATTAAACCCCAGGACACTATAGGTCTTCCTTAATTAAGTCCATGGGCAAACAAGAGATGGGAGTAATCTATCCATTCCGTAAAATTAAGTAGTTGAAGAATATATATTTCCCAGATTGGAGCGTACAGTTGGCCATGTATTGAGTCAGTCATTGTTCAGTCAAGTCCATCTGACTCTATGTGACACCATTGTGTGTTTTTCTTGGCAAAGGTCCTGAAGTAGTTTGCCATTTCCTTCTTGAGCTCATTTTTTTTTTTTAGGCAATTGGGATTAAGTGACTTGCCCAGGGTCACACAGCTAGTAAATGTCAAGTGCTGGGTCTGAGGCCGGATTTGAACTCAGGTCCTCCTGACTTCAGGACTGATGTGCTATCCACTGTGCCACCTAGCTGCCCCTAGCTCATTTTACAGTTGAGAAAACATAGGCAAACAACATCAAATGACTTGCCCAGGGTCACGGAGCTAGTAAGTAACTGAGGCCAGATTTGAACTCAGGAAGATGAAAGCCTTCCTGACTCCAGGTCTGCCGCCCTATCCACTGTACCACCAAGCTGCCTCCATTGAGTCAGTACTTGAGTGTCTGTATCTTGAACAGGCATTATGCAAGGCCCATGAACTGAGTCTTGAATCAGATAAGAAGAATCTATACTGGGACTTTTGCAGTATATTTAATGAACTGATCTTGCTACCACAAAAGAATCTTTTAATGCCAATATTCTCCCAGTGGTATTATATAGTTGAGAATCCTTTAAACTTCAAAATCTCAGAAGAACAGAAATTGCAAGTAAGCTGAAGGACAATGGAAAGATAATTAATGGGTCTTTAGTCAGTGGTAACTTATTCCTGGGGAAGATTGGTCTACAAGAAATTGAATAAAACCTATCAACACATCATCAAGGGTGTGTGTGTGTGTTTGTGTATCTATGACTATATATCAATATCCATACCTAAACATGAATACAGTTATATATACATTGTATATGCATGTATACATGTATTAGTACATACATTATAGTTATGTATATACATGCATATACTTACCTTATAGGGTTCACATGAGTATTATAAGATAAGACAAGCTGTAGATAAAAAATGGATATGGATAAGGTGCTTTGCAAACTTTATGTAAATGTCATTTATTATTGTATGCATGATGAGAAAAGGAGGTGGTAGGCCAGTCATGTCTTGAGAGTGATGGATGACAGAGGGGCAGCCCAAGATCTATGAAATATTAAAGGACCTAGAGGAAGACCTCCAGAGGATTTCTGGAAATACACAGAAGAGAAGCATACATGATGGATTGCCATCTGGACGGAAGCAGCTGAACCAGATAAGATCATGGACCAATCAAACTGTTGAAGTAAGTTTATTGATTGAAGAGATGGTAAGTTCAAAACAATGTGTGAGTATCTTTAATATGCAAGAAGACAAAATGAAGTATAGCGAAAAGCACACTGGCTGCAGAATGATGATACATGGGTTCAGATCTTGGTTCTAAGACTTTCTAGTTATAAAGTCATGAACGAGTCACCTAATCTCTTAACATTAGGTTCCTCATATAGTGTTATACATACGAGGTTCAGGGATTTCTGCTGTCAATACAGCATAACTAGTTGTATTTTTTTATTTCTTTTAAAATTTGTATCAATAACTTTAAAAAACATCACTTTTGTTTCCAAATATATTTTCTTCCGATCTTACCCAGAGAACTATGCCTTTATAACAAAACAAAACAAAAACAAAAAACAAAACAAAAAAAAATGGAGGGATGTATGTTTGGAGAAACAGCAGTTCAGTAAATCTAACCAACTTATCAATTAGGTCTAATTGTATATGAAACATTCCACACTACTAGTGCCCCACTTCTACAAAGAAGGAAGGGAAGATCATTTTCTTTTCTTCAGGGAAAAATCTGGTTGTTTTAATTACACAGTATTCACTTTTTTCCTTCCTTCCTTCCTTCCTCCTTCTCTCTCTCTCTCTTTCTCTCATTATCATTGTTGTAGTTATTGTGTAGATTATTTTCCTGGTTCTACTTACTTCACTGTACATCAGCCCATATAAGTTTTCCCATATTTCTCCGAATTCTTCATATACATTTTTAATGGTAATGATATTATATTCATATACCTCATGGTGGCACAGTAGATAAAGCATTAGTATTAGACTCATAAAGACCTAAGTTCAAGTCTAACCTTAGACACTTACTAGCTGAGTGAATCTGGGCAAGTCATTTAACTTCTGTTTGCTTCAGTTTTCTCAACTGTAAAATGCAGATTAAAAATCCCTGATGGTGTTACAGTGAAGATCCAATGAGATATTTGTAAAGCACTTAGCACAGTGTTTGGGCACATAGTAGGTGCTTAGTAAATACATGCTTCCTTTCTTACATCCCCAATTGATGGGCATCTACTGTATTTCCAATTCTTTGCTAGTAATTGTTTTTTAAGGGGTTGTGATGCTGTATGCTAGGCAATAATTCCCATTTTAATCCACTTTCCCTTGACCAGAAGACCATTTACAAGATAACTGTCTGGGAACTGGGGTACAACTATATAGTTAAAGATCAGTTTTTCCATTGCTTTTTCTCCATACTTGATATGTCCTCACACATTAAGTAGGCCATTTCTGAGAGGAACTCATATCTGTGGCCCTGAAAATGAAGCATTTGGTGTTAGCTCTGTAGTATCTATAGCTCCTGGATGAACCTCTGAACTCCATTTTTTAAACATTATACTTTTCCCTCCATGTTTCCTGCCTCTACTCTCACAAATGGAAAATATTTGTGATGACTGAATTCATCAAGGCAGTTTTTTTGTTTGTTTTCGTCAGAAAGATGAGCAAGCTGTTGATTTGCTAATTACTCTGATAAAAGTTAATGAACATCCAGATAGCAAGTCCATTTTGAAAACATCAGACCAAGTGAGGCCTGTAAACTGCTGGGGATATGTGCTTGCGAAGATGCTCCCTTTGAAGTATGTGGTCTGATGCCTTTTTTATTTCTTTTCTTCACCAAAAAGCAAGTACTCTGAATATCATCAGCCCTGTAGAATAAAGTGATTGGGTAAAGGAGGCCTTTGATGTCTCAAAAACCAAGCATGGCTGCAAAGAATCTGATTTAACCTCTTGGTTTTTATTCATTTTCAACAGAGAATTTCATGGTCCATCAAGGAGTAGGCTCTTGTAGTATAAGAAATCATTTGCCTGCTTGCTCTAAAGCAGTGTCCTGCTGCTGTTTTAAAATAAAATAATTAATATATCATCACCTTGGGCTAAGACAGGTGGGAATGCATTCTTTCTCTCCCCTCCTTTCTAGCCTGATTGGGCAAAGAAGTCTCTCTTACAATTCTACCACTTATTTCCTGTGACCCATTTTAATGAATGTCATAACTTGAGCAATAATCTTCATTCCATATTAAATTTACTGTGAAGTTAATATGGTGGAATGATTTCCATGGCAGAATTGCTTAATTTCTTTTTCCTTTCCTTCACATGGGTATGCAGTGAAATCAGATTCTGCTTGCATAACTAAGTGGAGGCAAGTTTTTCTATTTTCTTTCTGCCCCTTCTTCTTTGTCTCCTTTTTTTTCTCTTGTATTTTTAAAAGAAGCTTTAATTATATTTTACCAAAGAGCTTAGGGCACATCAATGTATCCCACATGGCCCAAGCCATCTTAGTCTAGTGTTAGTGTTAGTGATTCCCCTTTTTCACATGTTATCCTTCTTAGGAAAATGAGGCGGGGTGACCTAAATGATCTCTATTTCCTGCTTAGTTTTAAATCCAGTGACCTACAATTGAAATCCTGAGGTAAGTAATAAGGTCTTAGCATGCACAGAATTAGACTTACTGGCTTGTAGTTTTTAATTTGGAATGTTTCAATTTTTTTGATGTGTATCACTCAGTATTCCTTT